TTCGCCCTGCTAAGTGGGCACGTTTCAATTACCTCAAATTTCTAATTCCCCCAGAAGTAGCACAGAGTAAATCAAAATAAAGGTGATCAACTTCAAGAGCAATGATTTCTCATTTAGATGGAAATGAAAGAGGACTCCTCCCCTTTATGCTGATTTAGCAAGGACAACTCCCCTCTCTCCCTCCCCCCAATATTTTCCTATTACTCTGTTCCCAAATTATACCAATCAGCATGTAAGCCATTATCTTTTAATGCCTCCATTACAGCAAGCTCTCTCTGGGTCTCAAAAAATCTTCCTTAATGGGAGAAATCAGATTGAAGAGGTTCCATTTTAAGTAGATTATGTGAGCAAAATCCTTGTTGTAAAGAGTACCGAAAGTCAAAATCTCAAACATTAAAAGGTGTTCAAAAACTTTGGGTTAAAAAAAAAAGGAAAGAAAAAAAAAAGAGAGATTTATAGGAGTGAGCTGTTTTCTGTTTTAGGTACAGTTCCTACACCGGATCTTAAACTTGCTGCAGGAAATAAAGATAGTACATATCCCAGCAAAAGATATGTGAAGCTTGTAATTGAAATTAATTATATATTCTTTACATTTTCCATTTCCCCCTTGAAGCTGGACAGGTGGGAATGCTTTTGCTCTTAAGTTACAGAGTCAGGTTCAAGCTCTGTAAATCCATTCCAGTCAAACATTAGGCTTTCAGTGCACTCCCCCAGCCAGCTTTGTCCTCAAACATTCCTTCACGACCTTACCCTGCTTAAAATCAGCCCGGCCCCATCCCCCAGGTCACCCTGGCTGCCTGCCCATCCACACATTTCTGTCTGCCTTTTGAGTGTTTTCAGAAGCCCATTAAATTGTGCCTTGGCAGGCCAGACGCATTCAGCTCGCCCTAAGACCCAAAGAGAGAAGGTTATCAAATTCCCTCATCTCTGCCAGACGTACAAAGCTGGAAGTTCTCTAGCGCTGCGAGGAAGCTCTGCAGTTGCACAGAGTAAGATGTTAGAACTTGTAAACATGTCATACAATATCGTAACACGCCCGTGGGGCAGGAGCTGGGAGGGCATGGGGACAGAGAGCCTGCCCTCCGTGGAGCTCTTAATGCACCTTTCTGGGGTTGGTTTTTTTAAACAGCACAACTGGAATTAGCTCCACATAAAGAGGCTGATGCTGCTTTCTTAAATCAACCAGTCCTGACAATTTTCTTTCTATGATCTTTGGTGGATCTTCTTGGCCGGGAGAGGAAAACGGGGCACGACACTCTTGCACCTTCTACTGGATAACAACAGAAAAGAGAGAGGAAAAGTTCAGTTCTCCCGTATGGGTAAGATTTAGAAAACGCTTACTACAAACTTCTGCCTGTTTCCATCCTTAAGAGAGGATGTTTATATAAGTACCTTTCCCACCGCCCCGTTTTCAGCGACGGGCTTTTGGCACTCCTGGAATCTGGCAGCAGCTTCAGAGCAGGATTGTGCTCGCCGGTGATAAGTTTTACACAACTCACAAAGAGATGACACCGTGCCACCCTGAGCACACAATTAAACCAACACAGCGCCAAAGGACAGTTCACTCACTGAAAACAATCTGAGGGAATGTGGTTTGTAACGTGACCAGAAACACAGCAATCAAGGACAAAAAATATGTTTAAAATACACACACACAAATCAGAACTACTCTGGACACAGATAATGCAAACTAACCCTGCCAGAAATGAGCTGCAAAATACCTTCATTTTCTCATACAGTGAAACCCTGATAAAATCACAACTGTTAAGGTCATACAGTATATCAGGTGGAATCACAGTCTTTAGAACTCCATTATTAATGCACACAACCTCACAATCAAAGAGGATAAGAGCACAGTTCCCAGATGCCAATGATTTGATCCTATCTTATTTGGCTGTTTACATTTAAATAATGTGGCCGTATAAATTTAAATAATAAGAACCACCAACAGATGGAATGTAGAGAAAAAAACGTGCCTTCTATGAGATCCCGAACATATACTACACGGTGCTTTACAATTTATTTGAGCGGAGCTCATATTAAAAAAAAAAAAAAAAAAAGAAGAAGAAAAAAAAAGGAGGGGAAAAAAAAAGACTCATTTCTTCTGCCATTATGGAAATAAAAGGACTGGTGCTTTAGTTCGTTGCTAGCACTGCCAAAGAAACATGCAGTTCTCTAACCTCCAGTACAATGTACCCATAAGGTACCAAGCATCAAAGCATATTAAAAGATATTAACTGCATATTTGCTTATGAACAAGATAAAAAGCTGTAGGGCCTCCAGGTTCTCAAGCTGTGAGTGGAACAGCTTTGCAATTTGCCTGCAAAACTGCATTTTGATCTTAATGAATATAAAATGGCTGCCATTAAAAGTAAAACAGATTATTTCAGGTCTTTTAGGGCCCATAGCTCTTTGACGGTCTTGGAGGGGCACTATGATCTTTCATTAAAATCTCACAGCAGGACTCCCTCACCAGCAAATCAAGCCTTGCAGTCGAGGAGATTGGCTACATTTAAAAGTAATTTTCAGAAATCTACACAGATTTTCAATTTGGTAATGAAAGCCATAAGAGAATGCAGGCAGCATTTTGTTGAATATTGTTGCTAATCCAGTGCTCACATTCGTTAGAAATTAAAGTGCCCCGTAACTACCAGGCTGATGGCAGCCTGCCATTCCAGCGCAGTTGTAAACTCCGTTTGTTAATGAGTAGCATGTGCTAATTGTTGTCAGCATCCCTGCCATACATCCCTTCCCTAACAACATATTTTACCTGCTGAAAGGTGTGACCTCGTGCACCGGCAGCATCCAGTTTCAGGGGAGAAATCTCAGAGCAGCAGAAAAAAGGTTCAGTTTCGTTTGGCGTGGCACGAAGCTAAAAGTGTATGTTTTAATGCTGATACCCGCACCCTCCTGGCACCCCATTCTGCATGTGCTACTCCTACATTAATACATCAAGGTAAGACAAAGAAGGGTGTCATGAGCTTTCACGGCAAAGGGAACAACAGAGGTGATTTCTCTGTGTTGCAACGCAAAGGGATGCAGCTCCCAGTAAAACGAAGTGGAAAGGTTTGAAAAGTTAGAGTGATCATATCTCATTATTGCAAACAATGTGAGGGGGGGATTAAAACAAAACCTGAGCTGGAGCTGCGAGGAAGCCGGAGTGGGACACAAAGATTGGCTCTGAGTCAGTCAGAGCTGATGGCTGTGCTGCCCTCAGGTGGAAGGTCCTGTCGGGAGGGGGAGGCCTCCGCTTGCAGTGTAAACCCAGAAAAAAAAAAAAAAAAAAAAAAAAAAAAAAAAAAAAAAAAAAAAAAAAAAAAAAAAAGGAAAGAAAAAAATAGAAAACTCAGCCTCAGTGGCTGCAACAAACCAAGATACTCAGAAGTGTGAGCAAGAAGGGTTATAATACATGAATTCTCAAATAAACCAAACGTGAATTGAATTATGGCAGAAGGGAACAATTTTCATCTACTGAATTGTAAATTGGGTTTGTTTCCAGTTCATATTTGAAATGCAAGGGTGATGCTTGGCTTTTCATTTCATTTTTTTAGCTGGGGGGATTCTGAGGGAAAATACTGACTTGAAATAACTAAAAGCTGATTGAAGAGCTCTCACACCCCCCCCCCGTGTGAGTGACACACACCCTCCGAAGCACATTTAGTATCAGTGCATCAAGCAGATTAGTTGTTCCACTGCCATGAGCGACAATATCATATATTGCTGCACGTTTAAAATTATTCAAATCAGTTTGGTGCACATACAGAGGGGCTTTTAAAACAATCTTTTTCAATATGCAGAAGTGATATCACAGGGTATTCTGGCTCCAAGCAAACAGCCTTGTGAACTTATTTTGTGTGCTCACCCATGAACGGGGAGGGAGGACTTTCCTGGGGGCTCTAAGGGGTACACAAAGTACCCACAGCACCTCCACAGGAACAAGATCCTCCTTCACTGGGGGGTATCAGCTAATCAGGGTTACAGCATCCCTCAGTTCCCTCTAAGTGGAGCCCGAAGCAGAAAATCAGCAACTTTGGTTTCAGGACACACATGAACGATTAACCACCACATCCAAGTGACTGGAAAGACGAAAGATGAGGGATCAGCCCAATGTTAGAAGTTTTTTGCCAGTTTCTTGCTTTTTTTTCTATTTCTGGGGGGGGCCAGAAGCAGTTTGCTGGAGCACCTTTACATGTCATAGCAGAGATTTCTCACCAGCTTTGGTTTTCAGCGTTTCAGTTTTGAGCAGAGCTAAATTCTTCCAAAGCCAAGGACGGTAACATGAACTTGCTGCAGGTTTGATCTCCTGTTTTTTCACTTTGCTGAACGTTGTGTTTCCAATTCCTCCTGCCACACACCACCACATTCCCTGTGACAGCAGAATCCTCAGGACACCTGATGTCACTGTTATAAACACCATGGGCTGAGGATACAACGTCACCAACTCCACCTAATACATATCAGCCCACAGAGCAACAAATAATCTCCTTTTTCTTCTGGAGAAGAACCCAGGACCCAGGAGGCCGTGTCTGAGTGCAGACAAGAAGCTCTCAGCCACCTCACAAGCGTATTTTTAAGGTTACACTGCAGCAGGTGGCTTTCCACTGAACAGCTTTAAATGTCCTTTTGAGCTGCACGTGGTTCCAAAAGTACAACCCAGAGCAGAGCAAGTACTGATGGACCAATATGTTTGGGAACTTCACACTGTTGGATCTGGTACTGCCCATCTCTGCTCTTAAAAACTGTGTTTCCAACTAAGCTATTGATGAGAATAAAGGAAAAGTCACAAAAATAAAGTTCTATAAGGTTACCTTTTAAATTAAATGCCCTTCTAAAACATATCTCAGCAATTTCTATAACAAATTTTTTTTTTCTCCTTACAATATTACTTTTTTTGGAAGGAAATGGATCTAACTACATTTTTGCTTTGTTTTCTTTCATAGAAAACATACACTAATTATTATCTGTCACAGCCTGATTCATTTTGGGAGACCTAGAATTGACACACCTTATACCTTTTTATATAAAGGCAAGTAAAAAAGAAGCGATTTTTGAATGTCTGTGTTACATTCTGAAATAATTTGGTATAAAAATATTTAAAATAATAAATATTATTTAAAATAATATTTGTCTTACCATGATGAAGCAAATGCATTCATTAGATTAATTTCCTAGTGAGCACAAACCCCATTAGTTTAAACATGGCCCACATTTTTAAAATGACCGAGTTGGGAATTTTTCCATTCTGTATCTGTTCTCTAATCCCTCTTGCAGGAGCTTTCCATTCACACATTTTGCATCCAGATGTTATTGCTGGTTGTGGAACTGGTGAATTAGCCCAGGACTTTGAATGCTGTTCCACATTCCTGAGGAAACAGCTTCTCCTGAAGAATTAGCTGCCCTAAGTGTAGTAGCTGGCAAAGAGGGAGGAGGAGAAAACAGGAGCAGGGGCAGAAGGAATGAGGAGTGGAAAGTCACATAAACTTCTAAATAAGAGCCTCACATGGGGAGAATTTGAACAAAACAGTAGGAGAACAGAGCTAATAAAGCCAGGGTGCAGCTCTGCCTAATCAAACTCACGTTTAATAAACACCAGATTTCCATTCCCTCTTCCACACTTCACACAATGCTCTCGATTGAGGTTTTCTAAACAGCCCCATCCAGAAGGAAAACAGCACAAATTAAAAAAATGAGCCAAGTGTCACAGACACAGGATGGAAACGTGATCCCACTGAAGTATGTGGCCAAAATCCAAACCCCAACTTCAACAGGGACAGAATTTTACCTCAGAACTTGAAAAAAAGAGATGGAGAAACCATAAATCAAACATCAAAGACAGGAAATGTCTCGGAGTCGAAAAAGGATACAAAATAAGCCATTGGTTCTTATCTTACCAAAAAGGCCCAAATCTGCCTTATTTTTTTATTCTCTAGCTAAAACTGCACAAGAAGGTCCACATTCACCACCTTGATAGATAATGGTGGATATTTACAGAGAAACTCAAGATCTGCAGCTAAATCCATCAGACCAATAAAATACATGAAATAATTTCTTCTGTTGATCTCCTGTGCTGAGTGGACCTCAAAACCAGGCGGGTCCACAGCTTCCAGAACAAGGCCCAGGTCCACAGCCTGTAGCAGTGCTTAAAGTCACCACAATTCCAAAGCACAACGAGTCTTTCCAGACAAATTCCAAACCTGCTGTTTCTTCCCTCTACACAGTTGTCTCTGCACAAAGTCTCTCTGTCTTTTTTTTTCCCCCTCAACCTTATCTATTATTCACAAAAAGAATTATTCCTATAAGAGCTAATGCTTCTTTTCCCCAACTTTTTATGATCAAGGTGACTTATAAACAGCTGCAATAAAAATGGCTGAATTTTTCCTTTTTTTTTCCTACCAAGAGCATCCTCAATAATGTCTGAGAGCGAGCAGCGAGGCTCAAAGATACGTGACAGTCACAGATTTCACCCCTGCAGCCACAAAACCTACAGTAGCAATTTCTTCATTTGACCAAAATGAATGGTCACCACAAAAACAAATGTAAGTTTGGTATCACTGATTTGGCTGAGACAGCTCAGGGGCTTGAACTTAATAGACTTCCCCTGACAGATTAGGATCTCCTGGTACGTCTGCATCATCCTGTCACAGCAGATAGCCCAGTCCAAACCACAGGCATGGCACTGCCCTTGATCCATGACCTTAGAATACAAAATAACTGGCTAAAGAATGTAATAAGACTCCCAAGGAAATACCTTTGAAGACAGTATTCATTTTCCTTGGTGGTCTTTTATAGGAGGGGGGTGTGGGGGGGGAAGAAGACAATTAAGCATTAAGAACTGATTGATGCTTAAACAAAAATGCCTAACAGTGAAAGCACATTTCTATATTCCAAAGGACCAGGCAAAGCCATCCCTAAGAAGGGATTAACTACTATCAGATGATATTACTACTGGATTAATGGTGTTTCGCATTCACTATATTTATATTAAAAAAAAAAAAGATCTCTTTTAAGGAGGATATAAGTGATTTGTATAAAACCTAGAAGCCAAAAAAAATTAGATTTTATTTGGAGAGCAGTGTGATGGATAGTATTCCCTTCATTTATACATGTTAATTGCAGTAATTTTTCCCCCTTGGTCTGGAACCAGGTCTTGCATTGCAAGTCAGTTGTTTTGAGAGCACCACAGCCCATGGAAAAAGGAAAGCCATGTGTAACTCCATGATGCTTTATATTCAAGTGGATATTCTAAGCTGTTCTTATTTTAGAGAATTGTTTTTGTAATAGATATACTAGAGGTGATCATTTTACTTTATTGCTAGTCATTGCTGACTGAAATATTTTGCCAGATGAAGGTAATTACTATGACTATATTACTTTTCTAACCTGTTCAGTCTATTGTACCTCAGATATTCAGAGTGGGAAATTCTGGATCCTCATCTGCAGAAAAAAAGAGTCACATTGTTCCGTGCTCTGGCCTTAATTATGTAAATCCCATATAGATGTTATCCAGTTCCCATCCCCACCTGGATAGCTTATATCTACAAAAGGTTACAGGGAAACTCCAGTTTTAATGTAGAATTGTGCAGGTGAAAAAGCCAAAAAACACACTCAAGTTTGTGTTACAAGTGACAAAAAAAAGTCTACTTTGACCGGAACCAAATCACTCAGGTGAAGATTTTTAAAAGGATGAGAGGAACAGCCATGTTCTTATTCAACACTAGTCACTACAGGCCAAAATTATACATTAGAGGAAATTATTTGTTGAGACATCCTCAGGATTATATCCCCTGGAGGCGACAAACAGGTGTGTGTTTCCCTCAAAAAGTCTCGTGTGCTCAGAGTCAACTTTTTTCAATCCACAGCATAGTAAGAGATTCACAGTAAATTCACTGTTACAAATATTTCCCATAATATCCACGTTCTTAGCTCCATGCTACCATAACCAGCAGCCACACCACCTCAAGACCTCAGTCTCCCTTGAATTCCACACTGGGAATACTCCATCCACACACAACAGGGCTAAAACAGGGTAATGAAGGACATATTTACCCACTTCACTGTGGCATTTCACAACACAGCTCCTGCAGTCATACAGCCTCCAAATATCTAATCCACTGTAACTGTTTTAATCTCAAACCTTCGCAGGTAGGACTTTAAATAAGCTTTTCTTCTGAAATATTTCCATCAGCATTATTTGTTATTAAAGAAAAAAAAAGGTAAAATAAGATTTCTTACAAAAGGTAATTAAGCAGTATAATATCATAGTAAGTGGAATGAACAATAAGGAGTTGTACTAAAATATATGCCTTGTGCAGTAGAGGACTGGTGTTTCAGGAGATTAACAATTATGATCACCAGTCCTCTTCTGTTTCTGTAATACTCCACACAATCTTTTTTAAATTACTTTATTAACCTTTCCTCCTAGCACAGAAGTGCCCGATTATAGATAATATTTCAAAATCATCTGAAGTGTAAGTGTGTTTGATTTGCTCAGTAATTATTTGTCTACTTTATTACATTGACCAAGCACACAAGCTCCTTGACCAGTTTTATTTCAAGTCCAGTTCCGAGCGGGGTCGGATCGCTCCGTGTGATCGCTCCCTTTGGCCCCCCGAGCACCTGGAATTCCATGTGGGAGCTGGGAACTCGGACAGGAAAATCCCACACTTCCACCGTGCAGGAATCAGCCCGTGTGATGCCATCTGAGGTGAAGGGAAAGGTTTAGTGCACATGTCAAAGGCTGTTCATTCCCTGCAATGCAGGCCGCAGACGTGTAAGCACAGCCACGCAAATCCGCCTTTCTAAACCTAAAAGGGTGTAAAACCCCCCATATATTGTCAATGCACGCTCTTCCCAGGATAATATATTCCCAAAGTTTTGCAGGAGGCATTATTTCCACTTGGATCCGAGGTATTAGCCCATTACCAGCCCCACTCCTCCCTGAAGCTTCCTGCTAAACATATGGTGATCACAGGAAAATATGCATTCCTTAAAACACAGGCCCGGAGAAAACAAGTGAGTATGGAAATAAAAAATAAAAAAAAATGCAATGAAAAAGTTTTCCTGCTCTAACTTTGCAGCTTTGTAGGAAAGGGAAATAATATTTACATTTTTGTAAAGATGAAAATGCAATGAGATGAAACGCTACACAGTTTATTCCTGAGGGCCACCACCAGGATAAAAGCACAAAGCCTGGGGACTTTGTTTACTGTCCACAATCAACAAATCCTGAAATCTCCATATGCAGCAGGTTTCCAAAGCTCTGTTAGTAATACTGTATATTGCTGGTCAGCCCAGTCACCCATAGAATTACAGTGTAGGGTATGGATGCCAGTATTTTAGACCCAAACCGAGCATAAAAAACACAAAGTAAAATTCAGTGTCAGCACAAAGTTGACAGCGAATGATTATAACAGCTTCGAAGCTTGAAAAAGAGTGTAAATAACTAGGATCCCCCGCGGGCTCACTCAGCCTGCATACATAACAACGGTGATGGACAGCCACTGGGAAAGCACTGCGGAAAAAAAGTCACTCTGCAAAGATGCAAAAATCTCTCCTGCAACGACTCTTAACTGTCACCTTTCTGACTAAATCAGCTACTTTTATAGAGAAAAAGTATCTATATTGTGCACTGCTGCTGGAGCAGGTAAACCATTAATATATTTTTCAGTGCTAATAAGCCCCGAGAATTTTTATTTCTTTAAAACAAATGACTCAAAGCCGCGTGTTTGCCAAGTCCTTTCCCTCGACCATCACCCAATTAACCACAGGGAAGAGATAACCCAGACCACCGGGCTAAAGAATTTCAAACGAGGCACGTAGGTATAAGTGTGAAAATACTCCTAAAAATTAGGATGCTTTTTCCTCAGGACCATTTTGCTCCTGTGGATGTCCATATACAAGCAAAATATGCACGGGCAGTAATGGCTTTAAAGTGCTGGCAAATTGCAAGTGGGGAGAAGCACCAGGTCCTCAGACTCTGTCAGACGTGTGACAGCACTGT